ACCCCTGGCCCCCTCCTGGCCCCCTCGCCCATCAAGACCATCAGTTTCCCGGCTCTCACGACCGTCACTGCCGTCCCGCGAGAGGTCGCCCGCATCCGTACGGGCCGCTCGTGGCTGACGCCCAACCTCTCCACCCTCACCTTTGAGAGAGAGGTGGACACAGAGGCAGCCAAGGAGTGGGTCAAGGGCTGCAAGGGGCTTAAGGAGCTGGGGATGGGGGGTCTGTCGGTGAGGGCGACTGAGGAGGTTCTGCGCGTCCTGCCGGAGGACGGCAAGTCCCTCTCGCGGCTGCGGTCCCTCGGAGGCATCGAGCTGTGGTCGGCCGACGCTGACGCCATCTGCCGGCTGCGCGAGACACTGGTGGCGCGGGGGGCCAAGGGCACGCTCGACTTCAGCTCACTGCAGATAATCCCGCCGCGAGACCCGAGCTGGCACGAGTATCACCAGATGGTCAGAGACCGCAATAGGATCCAGGAACTGGCAGAGCTCACGTAAGCACCACAGCGGGGGGAAAGAGGGGACAGTAAGTACTGGCGGATGTGTCTGTCTGGTGCTGTGTGTGGCATTCATTCAGAGCTGACGTGGTGGATGCTGATCCCCTGAAGGAGCCCATTCGCCGCTGCCGTGGCAGCATCGGTGTCATCGCTGCCGGGCTGGTGACCTGGGCCCACCAGCACCGCTGCCCCTGGGTGCGCTACATCGTGGACTACCTGGCCAGCGGGGCGTACAAGGTGGTGGTATCGGGGGATGAGGGGACGGCAGCGACCATCACCAGCGACACATTCCCGTTGGCCCTCACCATCGAGGTCGCAGCGGGCGCCCTTGCGACGGCAGAGCAGCGCGCGGTAGCCGCCCGTATCGGCTCCGTCATGCCGAAATTGGGATCGGCGGAGGTGGGCAGTTTTTCATCGCCGTTGACATCCGCTGTCGGTGTGGTGGACTTCCTGACTGCCCTCAAGTCGACCGAGAACAGAATCAGGGTCACCGTAGAGCTGTACGTTTCGGTGGCAGCGGTGTCGAGTGCTCAGGAGCTCAGTGGGTGGCAGCTGGGGCGGCGTGCGGCCGATATGCCGCCCATGTGGAACGTCCAGTTCACTGTTCACGGTAATGTGTGCACAGGGGTGCACGATGGGGCCTGCCTGAACTGATGGGTATTTGGCGGGATCTGTGTGTGTGTGTGTCACGTTCAGGTGAGGTGGATGACGGCGAGTGTGGCGCGCTCCTCTGCAATGCCATCGCCATGCTCACGTCGTGCACACAACTCCAGGTACGTCAGCCGAGCAGCAGATCCGAGGGACGCTCTCATATGCCACTCTGTCCGTTTGGTTCGTTCGTTGCAGGGCGTCGATGATGTGACCATGTGGTTCCAGAGCGGTCTCGCCAGCAAGATGCGACAGTGGTGGGAGCGTTTCCGACCCGAAGCGCCAGAGGGCTTCGACACGGAGTTTAGTGGGAGGTATCTGACTTTCCAGCGCCGCAGCCCATCAACAAAGTGAACACAGGTACGCACCGAAGAGCACTGACAGACAGACAGACACATGGCCGGCCCCAACAGCATGTCTGCTGTGGTGTGCTGTGCTGTGGTGTGGTGTGTCTCTGTTGCTATATCGATGTCAGCGATGAGCGGCCGGCCTGCGGCTTATAGTGTAGATCGGCTCTCTCTCTCTCTCTCTACGTGTGCTGCATATGTGTACGTGTGTATGTTTGGCTTGGTCGGCAGTGAGTGGCTGGCGGGCACTCACATGAGTGAGATACTCACACCGTCCACCACACACCTTACACACACATACATCTACGCATCTCATGAGAGGGGGGAGGGAGGGAGCGAGGGAGGGAGGGGTCTGTGTGCTGACTGAGTGGACGGACAGACGGACGGACGGCTGGTCGTTTGTTTGATGTATGACGGCTCCAAGGTGTCTAGATGGTATCTACTGGCTGCATCCATACATCACGTAAATGACGGGCGTCTTGGCCTGTTGTTCCTGTCGGCCAAGCACACGGATGGCCGGCAGTGAGCACACAGCACCGCTCCCCATCACGTGTCGGTGCGGGCAGGTCTGTAGTGTCTGTCTGTCTATCGGCCACGAATGAGGCCGTCCGTCCGTCTCACGACAGACCAACAAGCTTGGTTGCATGCACTGCACCAGTGGCAGGCCTTTTGTGTGCATTCAGGTGTGTATGTAATCTGCGCACGAGTGTTGGGCAAGGAGGGATAAAGGAGGCTCTCTTTGCCCTCGTTTGTCTGCTTGTCCGTCTGGCTGTCTGTCTGGCTGCCTGCGGTTTCCCCACCAGCCGTGTCGTGGGTTGGTCGATGCTGGCTGATGGGTCATGAGGTCGATGGATGGATGGATGAATGGATGCGTTTCGACATCACGCATACTTGCACATCTAGATGGCATGGCAATTCATTCGAATGAAATGCTGCCTGGATCTTTTTCTCCACACAAATGAGACGATGGATGGATGGACGCTGTGCGTGTCGTTGCATCTGCCTGCCTGCCTATATGTGCGTGTTTGCTGCTCGTACTCTGACACGACGGCTAAGTGTGAGGACACGGATGCATTGAAACAGAGATACACGCGCGTCAGAAATCACAGGCGCATCAACGACAGACGTCAATGCCCCGTCTGTCCATCCGTCGCGAACGTACACAGACAGCCATCAGCAGCCATCCGTCCATCCATACGCACTCGTGCGTGCATCAATCAGAGCTTCGAGAAGGCCGTCGGCTGTGTCTTGCCCCTCCCCCCCATGTGTGCAGCAGCGGCGGCTGCAATGCCGACGTCCTCACTCTGCAACGCTGCCATGTTCCAAATCCGCTGCATCACCAGACCATCCTGCAGGCACACGCACACACAGGTACAAAGACATAGACACAAACACAGACACGCAGACGCACAGACACACAAAGACACCCGTACCTCAACAGAGTGGTCTCGTGAATAGTTGAGGGCCGCCTTGGTGCCGCAGACAGCCACGGGGCTCTTGGACGCTATCACAGATGCCAACTTGAGCGCACCATCTAATGAATGGACGACCACACATAGTGTCTTCCGTCAGCGAGGCGGGTCGTCAATTGCATACCTCTCATGGCTTCGGCCGTCGGCTCTATCGCGCTGACCAGCCCGCGCTCATAAGCCTTCACTCAAGAACCACGACGACACACCCACACCCACAACCACATACACACCCACACCCACAGCCACATACAACAATCGCCTCTTGCGTGTCATTCGCTCTACAGTTTCCCATTTCATATACCGCGCCGCACCTCCCTCCCTACCTCTCGTGCGTCAAACCGGCGGGCAGTGTAGGCAAGCTCACGAACCTGACAGACAGACAGACAGAAATGAGCACAACTGTATGGGTGCACCCATTCATCGATCCATTCATCCCGCCAATCCGCCCACCCAGCTCTCATTGCCGCACACACGTGGCAATCGTTGAAGCGTCCCTGGTCAATCAGTTCATCACACACACAGACAAGACACATGTCGCCCTCTCTGTCGGTTCGTTGGTTCGTCCGTCGGCGTACCCAGGTCGGCCGCAAGCCCCAGGTCAATCTCCTTGACGGTGAACCAGGCGTCATGCGTGCACAGGCGGATGTCGCACGCACAGATGAGGTCCACACCGGCGCCCACGCACCCGCCACGCACCGCAGCGATCACGGGCTTCGAACACCTCTCTGAACCATCAATCACCCAATCAGCCGTACAATCGGATGTGCACGCCTCGCGCACTCGGTGTGGTGTTGGTGTGCGTACCGATAGACGACACGCACTCCTGCAGGTGCTCGACGAAGGCTTTCAGCTTGAAGGCCCTCCGGGCCACATCTGTGGTATGCGTGCAACAAGGCAGGCAAAGCATGCCTGGACGAATGGTCAAAGCCGGCCGTTTGCTCCCCGGCTCTCTCGCTCACCTTCCCCCTCCTGCTGGGCCATATGTGCCATTGCGAACGTTACTGAACGAACAAACGGACCGACAGAGAAGCAACAAGACACGCGTGTTCAACCTCATGAAGCAACCGCGCCACTCACAGTCGATTCCCTGAAAGCACGCACATGCAACCAACCAGTGAGTGGTGAACAGTGCATAGTACACGCCTGCTGGCTGGCTCGTGGCTCATGCGTACCGCAGTGAAGAGTGACCCTCGTCCGGATCTTCAGAGAAGCGAAGCACACAGGCTGTACGCAGATTGGAGTGATTCATTGTCTTTGCTTACAGGATGACGCATCGGCATGAGCCATCGGCAGATAGATGATCGAAGGCTGTCTTGACCGCCGTCCACATCTCTGCATTGAGTGCATTCCTCGCACTCGGCCGATTCAGCGCCACCTCGTAGATGAATGGCGCAACCTCCTGCACCAACACCAAGGCGCTGTCCGATGACATGGTTGGTTGGTTATTGCGTTTGAGGCTGCGCCGCCACCCTTCACAAACCCTGAACCCAAGAAACCCTGAGCCCGAGAAACCCTGAGCCCGAGAAAGTCGACGTCGCTGGCATCCATTCATCCATCCATCCATCCATCCATCCATCAGCTGCTGCTGAAGATACATACCTGTGGCTCTCGCCACACACGGCATATCGGCGACCAAGAAGCGAGCGGCACTGATGATCAAGAAGCGGACAACGAGCAGGGAGGGAGGGAGGGAGGGAGGGAGACGGCATCAATCCATCCATTCACGTTTGTGAAGGCGCTGACCGCATAGCTTGCGAGAGGGAGGGAGAAACACAGAAGATGCTAGCTGGACAGACAGACAGACAGGGGGGCAGCCAGAGCGGTGGGACGGTCCATTTCCGGCAGCAGACTGGTTAGCTGAGGAGTGAGTGCAGTGGGATGGACAAGAGTGTTGGTGTGTGTGTCGGCTTCATGGCGCGTGGCACCGATTAGATTTGTCAAGAGATATGACTGAGCGGTGAGACAACACAAACGCGCCATGGTTGGCATAATGCCTTTTGCAATTGCAACAAATGATTCAGTCAGTGGATCCTCATGTATGTCACAGCGTGACATGAAGGAGGAATGTCACTTCTCTTCGTACATCTACCACCACACCACCCTCTGTCTACAGGTGTCCATCCATCCATCCATTCATCCGCCCACATGACAAGGCACCCGGTCCCTCACAGCTGTACAAGGGGGCACCACTCGAGCAAAACCAACAGGCCATCCAACCTTGCTCGCTGCACACTTGGGGAAACCGCACAGGAAGTGCTGCGCTGCCCTGCCGGGGAGTAGACAGCGAAGCACTGCAGGCAAGGAGCAGACAGCCGACACAGGATAGTCACAGACAGGCACAGCCATAGTGCAGTGTCTCATTACACCGGATCCAGTTGTGTGTACATGTCAGTGGCTTTGCCTCTCTGACTATCCATATTGTAATCCAGCGGAAGTACATGACGAGGACAAGAGCATGGCCCTACGCGTTGCAGCCAACAAAAAACTCCCGGAAGAAAGACAATGAGACAATGACCAGTCTTTTCAATAAACTCAGCATGTCTCACTCAGGCAAAGCCCCATAGATGTCCCACATTCCCAGGTTCTTCTCTCCTATGTGCCCATCTATGGATCCCTGCACATGGCCATGGCCTACGCTGAGCAGGCCCTATGTTCATTCCAATCCAACAATTGCGCTGGCTCGCCTTGCATGTCACACTTCACTCTGCTGGGCTCTGCGTGTCTGACTTCCCCGAGACAACTCTTCACTCATGATCAGCACAATACTGGCAGCCCGGCTCCTTTTTAGGTGACAGGAAAGAAATGTAAGCAGTAAGCAGCCGAATCGGACGACTCTAGCTCAGGTAGGATACCCCTGGCTGTGCAACGGTGCGGCCGACGGCGCGAACCAGAGACATCAAGAAGAACGGCAGCCATCCGGAAATGCTACACACACGGACAGAGAGAGAGAGAGACAGAAACAGACAAAAGCAGTGAGACAGGAAGCCGATCGATAAATGCGCCTTACCAGGTGCCGGCGACCAGGAACAAGATCAGCATTATACGGCGAAGAACGCCTTTCTCAGACCTGGACGAAAGCATGGGAAGGTTGTTCCACCTCATCAAAACACACAGCACGCACAGCTCGAGTAGCTGCTCGATAGCCACCAGTAACACCAAACCGATGCCTTCCTCCACAAGCTGCTCCCATGACACGCCTGCGTAAGCTTGGGCCGTGAGTACAGCCAGGTTGGTAAACAAAAGTGCCACCAACTCACAGGTGGACCAGATGTTCACCTGGTCGGATAGTGCACGTAGATACCTGCAATGAGTACACGTAAGTGCACACTATGTGGATCGTGTCTGAGTCTATTGTGGCCGCGAGTACCTTGGAGACACTTCGAGTGAGGCCAAGGCCGACTGCAGCCCTCCTACTGGAGCAGCGAGAGACAGCGCTGTGGTCATAATTGAGCTTTGACGTCGTAGCAGATGACTGTTCTTTCTCTTGCTGTGCTGGGTCTCCGTAGCGTCGTTGTCCTTGCTCATGGCTGATCCACTGACCGCCTCCGCTTTGGTCGCCGTCACCGCGATGTCGGTCAAGCTATAAGCTGTGGTTGCCTGTCTCTTGAACCGGGCCTTGACAAACCTTTTGGCCGACAAATAAAGTAGAATTGCTGATGCATACAAGGAGACAAGCATAATTGACCAAGAATTCACTGATGTGTCCATGGCTGACGCGCGTACAATAGGGGTATGAAATGTCCATGATCAGGTCAAAGATTGAGATGAGGACAGAGTAGAAGAGTTTGCTCCTCAGGTTCACGGCCTCGGCTTGGAGCATTCCTGATCAGGAACATCACACCCCCCATTGTACGTGTGTCAGCCATGAAGAGATGACTGACGTGGGAAGATCACGTAGACCACCGCAGGTATGGCTATAAGCAGCGAATTGCATGTGGGAGGTCCCTCCTGGATACACATAGCATCGTGAGAGACAAAGTCCGCTGTCTCGTAAGTGGCTCTGTTAGTCAGTTCGTACTTTGAGCGACCGCACGAGTTTATTGACAAGTCCGATAGCGGGCATGAAGACTGCGAGATATATGACAGCCATCCGGAATCGGTCCCTGTCAGTGGATGATGCAGCAGCAAATCGTGGCGAGAGGGCAGCGACCCAAATTATTGACATAGTGAATGCCATCGTGACAGCTGCTGTAACCTTCATGACATACTCTCGTCTGGCCCTAATATTCAACGATCCCGCAACGCGCCAGAAGTACACAAAGAAAGCCGCATAATATGAGCTCCAGAAAATCGGAATGATGATGTTTCTTCGTTCTTGGCTGTCGAAATGGAGCTCATGACCAATAGAGATCAACAGACCGAGCGCCAATGCCGGAAGAAAGACGAGCCACTCCTTCTTCAGCCGCACTATCATTCTTCGCAGGTCGGTCCCATCTGTGACGAGCACGACGATGAGCAGCAGCATGAGACATTCTACAATGCGGCGGAGGGCACCAAACACCGGCCCAAACGTACTTGACAGACACCAATAGGTGAACATTACAGTGCAACCGACGAGGACGATGGCAATGGCCAGAGCAATTGCTGACTGCTGAAGTAGAGCCACAGAAATTCGCCTCAAGGTCATCACGAACGGCTCGGGCTCAAAAGTTGCACCAACAAACACCTCTGTTGTGCTGCCGTCGGGGTGATCCATCGTTTTATACGCAAGCGTGGTCGGCCACTCTTCAAAACTAGCCTCGTAGCCTGCCGCCTCCCTGATCTCATGGACCAAATCCGCTATAATACGCTCCTCACGACGCAGCTCATGGCCAGAAACGGAATCCCTCGTGTCGATGGTTGATGTTATCGGGGCCCGTCTTTCGTGACGTGTTTCGTCGCCATGCGCTGCGATTGTGATGTGGTCGCTTGGTCCAGGTGCTGTGTTGTTTGTCTCTTCAGCGTCGTGCTGTTGTGGGCACGGCAGGCTGACTGAGGAGGAGAGATTGGACGAGAAGGTCGAGAGAGCGGCTGGTTGATGTGCACATTCATCCCCAGGTGATTGAGGCGGTCTCACAGCCTTGCCTTTCACCACCCTTGAAGCCCCTTCCCTGTGCGACCTAAGCGCGCAAGAAGGGAACGGGAAGTGCCGGGCATGGGAGAGCAGGTGGAGGTGACGTTGAAGCTTGAGGACGTCAACATGAAAGAAGAAGAGGCCATCCACGGCGGGATGCCTCCCTCTCCTGACAGTGGCGCAAAGGAGCTGTCACCTGAAGCAAGGGAACTGTCAATCATGCAACAGCTGGAAAGAGTCAAGGTGAGAGGATCAAATCATCACCGCGGGAATGGGCTCCACTCTCTCGGTGTGTGTGTTGTGTGCCTGGCTGCAGATTGGTCATCCGCGCGAGGACACTCGCCTCATCGGTTGGGTCTTTGCTCTCGTCTTCACGACCGCTGTGTTTGTCAACTATGACTCGGGCGCCATACCAGCAGTCCTCGGAGAGGTGGAGTCGGAGTTCAGCTTCTCATTCTTTGAACTTGGTCTCCGGACGATGAATGCACCGCACCTCTCTCTCGCTCTCTCTTTTTCTGTCACTCATTCTTCACTCATTGACTTCCTGCGTGACTCACTCAGGTCTTGTGGGTGCCCTGCCCTATGTGGGCCTCACGTCTGCCTCCCTCTGTGTGGGCCGCGTGCTCCAAGGCCACACACAGCGGCGCTTCCTCTTCGCGACACTGGTGGCCAACACGCTGGCGTGTCTGCTGCTGGCTTTATCGTTCCGAGGCTGGATGGTCTTTGCGAGCCGCTTCCTGATCGGCTTCACTCAGAGCGCCTTTGTGGTCTACGCTCCAGTGTGGGTGGACGAGTTCTCGCCGGCCGACCGGGTGTCGCTGTGGATGGGCCTGCTACAGGCGGCGGCCGTGGTGGGGGTCATGGTGGGCTACCTCATGGCTGGCTTCTTGTCCACATACGCGTGGAACTGGCGGTGGTCGATCGGCATGCAGTTTCTGATCATGACCCCACTCACGGCGGCCCTGGTCATCCTCAAGGCCAAATACATCAACATACCCGACCCGAGAGAGCTGCAGGTCGCCACCCCACCGCACCGCCGAAATCGATGTGCATGCCCATCACGCCTGTGCATCATGTGTGTCTATGATGTCAGGCGGCGATGGAGCGGAAGGCGTCCCGCAACCTCGAGGAGATAGAGAGTCAGCAGCGATCGCGGCAGGGCCTCAAGAGCATGACGGGCGAGACGCAGACCGCCACCAACGACGCCAACCACACCGAGGCAACGGAGCGGTCGCTACTCGACAGCGACGACCAGCACGGACCTGAATCGGGACACAGTAAGCGACATGACAAGTGCACGAGCAACGAAGATAGATCGCCCGACACCACAAGGACCCCATTCATCTACTATCTGGGGGTATGCAGGTGGTTCGTCTGACCGCGCGTCGCCCAACAGCCTGCGGTCCACCTCCCCCACGTCGCCTCTCAGACGTCGGGGCTCGCACGGCCAACCAGGCAGCCGAAGTCTCCTCCCTCCAGGCTCGTCCGACCACCCACACCCGCAGCCTCAGCAGCACCATCACGGCCGTCTCGGCCACCACGACAGCATGGGCGAGGAGGGCGCCCTCCCGCCAATGACCACCACACACTCTCACGGCCTCGGGGCGTCAGTTCCATCACAGCCGCCCGAGCCATCCGCCGCGTCACGGCCAGGCCTGCAGTCGTTGCCGCGTGGCACGCATCCCAGCGAGCTTCGAGACAGGGAGGCCGGTGTGATCGGGAGGTCCACCGAGGGTGACAGCGACCACCGAGAGGACGTCAACAGCACGTCGGGGCAGTCGCCGGCCTCGCCCCAGCTGCCGGTGAGCGACCACTCGTCGTCGGGCGTGCACCGACGGACACAGAGCGGCCTGCCGGCGTCTTCGGTGGGATCAGTCGACCCATCGGGGGTGGGGGTGTTCCTCGTTAACAAGCGGAAGAGCACGGGCTCCATGGCTATCGACACCAGCATAGCCGGCTCGTTTGCACAGTACTCGTCTGCTGCCGCTCGGGTGTCCCATCGGATGCCGGTCATCTCGCCCCCGTGGGCGAGAAGCGGATTTAGCAGGTGACAAAACAAAGAAGGGGAAATATCATGACATTTCCGCGGTTGCAAGGCATGCGCTCTGTGTGTGTGTGTGTGTGTCGTTTTGGCAGATGGGAGTTGATGTCTGTGGGTTCATCTGTGGGCGGGAGCCACCACGGGGCGGCCAGGGGCGCTCGGTCGGGGTCAAATGTGTCGGAAGACACCCAGTACTCCGGGATATCATCCAAACACTGTCAGGCAGCAAGCACACGAGGCATCATGGGCCATGCCGTTAACGATGTCTTGGCCGCCTTGTCATCTCTCTCTCTCTCTCTGAATGCAGCGATGACTTTCCTGGTCGGCGCCCCATCCGCATCTGTCTACGTTCCCCTGAAGGTGGGCAACACACACAGCCAGACGCCTTCCTACCTCCCACGCCTCTCTCTCTCTCCCCCTGCCGTCCATCCACTATCCCTGTGCAGCTTGCCGTGAGCCAGGCCAGCCCACAAGGCATCCACGCCCACCGGCGGCTGCTGCCACCTCCTGGGGCGGGAGGCAGTGACACCGACTCTTCGGGGGGCCGCGTGCCGGGCCCCTTCGTCAGCTTCGGACCGGAGCCGAGCATGGTCTCGGACGTATTCCCGCCGCGAATACCGGAGGCGGGCGAACTCGAGGAGGTCAGAGACACACACAGACAGAGAGGCAGAGAGACATGAACGTTGTAGGTATGTATTGGTGGGTGTGGTTTTGTCGGTCTGGCTGTGACGTCACAGGCAGCAGAGCTGGCTGAAACGCAGAAGGAGGGGCGGAAGGGCCCCGGGTTCAGGGAGTCGCTCGCGACACTCGTCATGTGAGGAGAATGATGCCCACCCCACCCCCACCGCCAACTGATGGATGGATGGGCCCACGGATGGGGGATTGCAATTAATTGTCATGGCCGTCGCTTGTGTGTTTCTGCAGGAATCCTCTGTACGTGTGGACGGTCTTCTCCCTTTGTGCTCTGTACTTTGTCGTTACGGGCATCCAGGTAAATGCGCAGTGTACCCAGCCAGTCAGCAAAGACAGACTTTAAGGGTCAGGCAGGCCATATCTCTCTCTGCGTGAGCACTCTCTGTGGCTCCGTCCCTCCCTGTGTGCAGTTTTGGACCACAGAGTTTCTCATTGCGATTTATGAGGTGGGTGGGCGCCTGGTGGATGGATCATGTGCCACCCCTGTTGGCGGCGATGCACTCGTGTCTATGCTGGCGTGTCCTGCAGGTGCCTCGGCATGTGGTTGTGGGTGCGTTTGCCGGCACGGCAGCCACCGCACCGACGCTGGGAGTGGTGCTGGGGGGCGTGTCGATCGACTGCGTCGGGGGGTATCGCACCAAAGCTGGCACCATCAGGACGCTCTTTGCGTGCTGCATCTACGGACTCATCGCCACTGCATGCGGTGCGGTCTGTCTGCCAGGAGGGAGGCAGAGAGGGAGAGAGGGAGAGATCAACCAACAGACAGACACGTAGGTTAGGTGGATCTCCTCGTTGCTGCTGCTGCAGGTGTGACGGCCGGTTGGCTTCCCGTGGACAAGAAGCTGTGGGTGTTGGTGCTGGCCCTTATTTGGGTGCTGGTAGGTGGCAGACAGATCCATACATCCGTCCGTCCGTCCGTCCATCAGCTTTGACTCACTCCACGTTGGGTGTATGCTATGGTGTGCAGCTGTTTTTCGGCGGCGCCATCCTGCCGCCTGCGACGGGCATGCTCATCAACACGGTGCCGCTCAACATGCGCTTCTACGCCAGCGGCATATCCATGTGCACCTACAACATCCTCGGCTACAGCGCCGGTCGGTATGTCAGTCAGTCTGCGACACCACACCCTGGCATCCATCATCCAAGGATGAGGACGTGTGTGTGTGTGTGTGTGTGCGCATTGTGCAGGCGCCGCGCTTCCCGGAGCACTCATGACGGCCCTCGGGGGACTCAGAGAAGGAATGAAGGTGAACACATCCGACAGACAGACAGACAGACGAGCCAACAGACAGCTGTGCGTGCGGGAGACGCCCACCCAGATAGCCAGCCAGCATTATGTTTGTGTGTGTGGCTGGCTGTGCCCTGCTGCCCTGTTGGCCGATCCATCCAGGTGATCTTCGCGTGGAGTTTCTTCGGTCTGATGGGCATGGCGGTTGCGGTCTTCTTCGCCTGTCGCGACACCGACGACCAGGAGACCCTCAACCGGCAGGAGTCATCCGATGAGCTGGGCGCCAACAAGGTGGCACAGGCGCCACCCACCACACAGTCGGTCCCCAGCTCGTCGCGAGAGTCGTCGCCCTCCTCACGCGGTCACCTGGCTGGCACTACCGGGTTTGAGGGCCTGGACCAAGGCAGTGGGCAGGCCGCGAATGCGGGGGCCATGAGGACACACCTTCTGCCGCCCAATAACAGCCCCTGAATGCAATGCGCCTCGGGAGGGGAGGGGGGCGGGGAGTATGGTGTCGGTTCTTTGATTTGATTTGGTTGGCAAGGTGAAACGGTCCTCTCCGCCGTTGTTTTGTTTGTTTGGTTTGGTTTGGTTTGTCTTGTCGGACGGGGTTTCCTGCTGCCCATCTGCCTGTCTGTCTGTCTGCCTGTCCGCCTGTCTGTCTGGCTGGCTCGCCCTCTGTCTTTTTTCATGGTTGCTTCCATCCGGGGCATGGGGGCATTAGTGCCTTCCTTAACGTTTCTCCCCTTTTACGTTTGCTGCTGCCAGAAGTTGCTGGGGTGGGGGGGTGTCGTTATTGAGGCTGGACTGAGGCAGGGGAGGGGGGGGGGGAGTGACCAACCGACCGACCGACCGACCGACCACACTGCAGAGAAGAATCATCATCCCACACCCACCCACCTACCTGTTCCTTCGCCACACGCCACACTTGCTTGCTTGTGTATCTATCATTCTTTGTCTGTCGAATGCATGAGTGTACATAATACTATCACATCGATCGATCGATCAGATGTCTGACTTTCTCACTCAATCACTGTTTGCTCCCTCAATCAAGGTCCCGAAACCCTGACTGACTGACTGACTTGACATTAATTGGATGGATTGGCGGGCTGACACTCACTGCAGGTGCATGGGGTTGTTTCAATAAGTACGTCAGTCAGCGTCAGTCATCTGACATTGTCAAGGGGTGTCACTTCACGAAAGGGAAACAAGCCCTTAGCTGCAGCAGATGATGGAACCCGTGGAGTGAGTGGTCTGCGGCCACACAAAGAAAAACGCCACAGCTGTGTGTGGACGCATTAACTGCAGAAACACTTTTCCGGGTGCGCCGACCTGTCTGTGTAGTTAGAATGAAGCTTAAGCGGTGCAGATGCATTCAGCATTCTAGCCTCCAGCTGTTCACACACACACACATGCACACGCGCATACGTAGGCTATCAGAGGTGCGTCATAAGTGACGGAGCGCCCACTGTATGTACATAGTGTGGGTGCCCACACAGACAGAAAATTCCCTTCCCTGAGGGAGTAAGGTGAGGTATGCCGTCTGTCTCGTGTGTCGTCCCGAGTTGACACATTCACCACCGCCGAGGAAGAAATAACAGTCCAGCCATGACCTTTCCACCCCCGCTCTTTTCTTACTGCTGCCGCCTTCTCGCCGGGCTTCTCTCCTTCCTCTTGACCCTCTCTCCTTACCTGGCCAGCGCCGCTCCGGGCAAACCTTTCCGCCAGTCCCTCCACAAACAGCCCCACAATCACACCTTCCCTTTCCCCACCCTCGGCAGAACCGAAAGCCCCGGCCCCTTGCGCTTCGGCGCCTTCAACTATGTGCACCCGCGGCCTGATGCCGTGTACGTGTCGCCCTTCACGTCGATTGGTGTGCGCCACGGCGACCATATCAGGCCGGACAGCGTCGTCGGCAAGATTCAGGCCGTGGGCGAGAAGAGCGGCTCCAAGCTCGGCAAGGGCAAGGGGAGAGTCGTGCTTGCCGAGGACCGGCGCACCATCGTGCTCAAGCTGGTGCGGCCCTTCAAGCCGGGGGAGCGGGTCAAGGTGACCGTCAAGAAGGGGCTGCGGACGGTGGCCGGCAAGCCGCTGGGCGGGCTGAGTTGGTCGTTCCGTGTGTCTGGCAAGGCGCTGCACAGCTGGAATGTGGGCGACCAGCGGTTTCTGACGCGTGACGACAGCTCCAAGCGGCTGCAGGACTTTGGCAGGGCGGCCGGCATACAGATCATCAACGAGCGGTCCTTCTACTTTGACGACACCTTCGGCTACGACCACTCGTGGGACGGACCCGTATCGCCCCTGGACTTCAACAGCCACTACAGCGCACACGCGCTCACCGAAGACTATCCTGTCATCGATGGTGGTGAGAACGCGACGGCGATGAAGGCATCGCCCCGGTTCCACGACGGGCTGCACGAGATGAAGACCTTCCAGCTGGCGCACTACCTGCGGAGCGGCTACAAGACGCTGCCCTTCGAGCACAAACTGCCCCGGGTGCGGCTGTCGGTGCCGCCCAAGGCGGGCAAGGTGAGCGATGGGTATATTCTGGCTTCCAACAAGAAGTCCCAGGTGATCGAGAAGAGCAAGATGTGGACTCCCTACCTCCTGGTCCTGGACAACCGGGGCGACATGGTCTTCCACCTGCGGCTCAAGGACAACATCTCCATGGCGGGGCGGGCCAACTTCGACATCAACGCCAATGGCCACATGGTCTTCGGCCTGTCGGAGGTCGACAAGAGCTACAGATTCGTCCGCAAGAACACCGCACCGCACGGATACACAGCCGACTGTGAGTGAGGCCACACCCCACCCCACCCCACCCCACCACACAACGATGAGTGGGTGGGTGGGTGGATGGATGGATCGATGGGCTGCTCTTCGTTGTTTCTCTCAGCGCATGACTTCAAAAAGCTTGCTTCAGGTGAGGGCGTGGCGGTTGCTGTCGCGTGTGGTGTGGTGTGGTGTGGGGAGGTGTGCGAGTGCGATGCGCTCTTCCCATGCATACTTAATCAATCTGTGTGTGCGTCAGGCGGGTCTCTCTTTCTGCACAAGCTTCGCGAGATTGTCTGGCACAAAGGCCACCAAGTGCCGCTGCAGGTAGCAGCCGTCACCGAAACCGATAGGTCCGTCCGTCCGTCCAAACACACTCCCAGCCCGGCCGGCCCCATGAGCACAGACCTGCCTGCTTCTGTCTGTCTGTCTGTCTGTCTGTGTGAGTGCTCTCAGGAAGGGCACTGTGATCTTTGAGTGGCGTGCGTGGGACCACTACACCATTGAT